GGATAAGTCAGATATCTCGGATATATGTTATTTGGCATGGCTGGAATTAAGAAATTAAGATAATTCTAGCCGTAACATTTTCTCCTTCTAAAAAAAATTGAGTACCACCTCAATTATAACCAGTTTTGGACCAATTGTTTCAACTGGTGTAATTGTGTTTCTTCTAACTTGCACAATTCCTGATAGAAAGTTGCTTTGACTGACAGCAATTTTTCTGGGGCGTTGGGAAAAGTTTCTGCGAGCCAAGTTGCCAGTTGGAGTCGTTTTCTTAGCGAGATAGAAAGTGGCCTTTCTTTTTTACTTTTCATCAGTTGAAGATAACTTGTGGAGTCATCACTACTGATTCTTGTCAGTTCCTTTCCTGTGTATAACAAGAGATATAATTTTTCTCCTGCTCTTCCTTTGGATCTGAAACAGTCGCCTAATTGTTGCCAGGCTTCTTTTATTCTTCGTTTAGGTGTAATTTCGTTTCTCCTTACATCGATTCTTCTGTTTCGCCGTTTCCAAGAGTTCTGCAACTGTTGGTTGATTTCTAAGATTTTGGGATCGATTATTTCACGATCTGGGTTATCTGATGGGCTTCCCGGTGTTATTATCTCGTCCAATGCGTCATTTTCTTCAAAGATCGCATTAGTTTGTTGTTCCGTTGTTATGAATTCTTCTATAGTTGGGACGTTAAATTGTGGGCCTGTGTTTCCGACCGTTATTGTCAAGTCTGGGCAATTTTCTTTCAATTTGTTTGAGAGTTGGATGGCTAATTGCCATATTTCCGTTATTGCGTCGTTTTCTTGTCCGTCGGTCGACATTTCAAAGGTTTTGGTTTATTATTAAGTCGTGTTCGTTCGTTCGTTTGGTTCGTGATATTTTATTATTTTAAAATTTATTTGGTGACGTCAGATCTGGGAAATCATATGATTTCCATTATTGTTACTGGTCGGGTCTGGTGATCCATATATCAATTCGAATCAATTCTATTGATATATTCGTTCAAGTGTTATTATTATATTATATTATATTATTTATTTTATTTTTAGCTTTTTCTTTTGTATTCTTTTAAATTTTTACTCGTTTTCGGTATTATTACGAATGGGGTTAATTTTGTGTTTTCTTCCCCCTCTTCGTTTGAAGATTCGTCCCCGAATTCTTCATTATTTGGTTTTCGTTCGTAATAATGTTTCAGTCGATTTCCGTTTACATATTTTGTGTGTATTCCGTTCTGATCGGCGAGTTTATAGGCTCCGTTGTTAAGTTTTTCGTGTATCCAGTATGGTCCGTCCCATTTTGGGTCTAATTTCCCAGACCATTGTTTGTCGCCTTTGCTTCGGTATACGAAGACTTTGTCTCCGATATTGTAATTCTTTTCTGGTAAGTTTAAGTCATGTCGTTCTTTTTGTTTTTCCTGTGATTTTTCGATGTTTAATTTTGCTTCTAATCGTTTTTCGTTTAATTGATAAATTGTTTCGAATGTTCGTTGATTCATGGCTTCCTGATAATTGTTGTTTATCTGTCCGTTGTCGGTTGATATTATTAAATCGATGGGTAGTGTAGCTTTTTGTCCGTACAATAATTCGAAAGGGGTATATTTCGTGGTGTCGTGTTTTGCGGTACGATAGGCGAGAAGTGTTGCGTGGATGTGTTCATCCCAGTGTGTTTTTGATTGGATCGATAATTTTGATAACGATTCGCAAAGTGTCCGGTTGAATCGTTCGACGAGTCCGTTCGTCTGGGGATGGTAAGGTGAGGATAATGTCCTCCTTATATTCAATCGTTCACAAAGGTTTTTAACCTTTTCATTAACGAAGTGTGTTCCTTGGTCTGTTAATATTTCTTTAGGGCAACCGTATCGGGAGATAATTTCTTCCTTGATAAATTTTTCAACATTCGCTGCATCAGCCTTTCGAATGGCTTTGGCTTCCGGCCATTTGGTGAGGTATTCTACAGCTACCACGATGTATTGATTTCGTCTTGTTGTTGTTGGAAGTGGTCCAACAATGTCGATTCCTATTCGGTCGAATGGTTTGGTAACCCTAATTGGGTTTAGTGGTTCTGTTCGTTTCGGTCGTCCTCGTTGTTGGCATATTTCGCAGGTCCGTATATATTCTTTGGTGTCATTTATTATTGTTGGCCAGTAATACCGTTCTTTTACTTTATTTATTGTAATATTTTGTCCGAGATGTCCGGCGGTTTCATCGGTGTGGAGGTATTGGAGGATAATATCTTTTTCGTCTTTGATTATAACTCGTTTTGGCTTTTCTTCGTCTCGTTGATGATATAATTTGTCTTCGAGGATAAGGTAATTATTTTTGTATTTTTGTATATACTTCTGCTGTTCGGGCGATAATTTCGCCAATGT